GTGATTAGAATGGAAACAGAATATAATATTGAGCCAGTGGATCCATATTTGCAGTTGACAATCTATACATAGGAAGAGAAGACAGAAAAAATTAGGATTCTAATTTATTTCTTAGAAGAAGTATTTTCTAACATTTTCAGGATTTTTCACCAAAAAGGTGTATCAGAATGTCCTCAAATTTGAAGTGTCTTCCAGAGATTTAAACAAAAATTTAGACAGTTCTTTTGCCCAGTGGATCTCACTGAGTTCTGGATCATAAGAATCGTCTGGATCTCCTGGGTTCAGGCTTTGAATCTCCACTCTGAGAAAAGGCATAACTGCACCTATGCAAAACTAGATCAGTTTCCCTCCCCTAAAGTGGATGGGAGACTCTTCAGTATTTTGAAGAACCTCTACAAGAAATTCAGAATTAGGTGAGGAATTTACGGTGAGAGGACAACTCCAGTGATAGTGAACATGTATACCATTGCGTGGTTACCCAATAAAAAAAATAAAATCGATATCATCATGAATCAATAACCTGCACACCATAAACTCTTCCACAAACATCCCCTCTAGACTGGAGATCTCAAAGCCCGTGTTTCAAGAATGGTAACATGGGTTTGTCAGCAGTATATTACCAGGGAATGGAATAAGGAAAGATCGTTGCTTTCTATGTAATGGGCTCCCAAGGACTTAAGGTCATTCCTACTATTTATTCCTTGGGTGAAAATCACTTGTCACCTTCATGGCTGATAGGTATCTTCATTCTCACCATCTTGTTGGCTCAGTCTTTTCTCATATCAAACCATTCTGAAACCAATACAAGAAGGGAAGGAGTAAGTGTTCTTGGTGCTGTCTCCTCTCCTGTAGGTATGTCTTTTCTATGGAAGAGATAAGATTATGCTATAACACTATGGTAAAGGAATTTTGTTTCTGAGGGGAAGGCATGTATTATTGCTAGCTCTTTCTCTCTTTAGGGGGACCAGTATCTGCCAAAGTAGACAATGGTGTTGGTTGGGTTGTGTTTGATCAAGAAGAGGAATGGGTGGTCAGCCCTAAGCTCTTCTAATTCAGAGAAATGCTTGATGTGTTCTATCACCCCTGTGGAGCCTGCCATCTCAGTGCCCTCTTCACTGAGTTCCATGAAGGCCCCATGCACAGCCTGGGATATTTTCAAGCTCTCTGCTGAAGAGATGCCAGTCAGATTGGCTGAACGGCTGAACAGGTCAGTCATTCCCAAAGCCATTAAGACAGATGTGAGGTTATATTTTTCCTCAATCTTCATACGGGGCAGGTACACTTTCATTCTCCTCTTCTCCATCATATTGGGATTGGTCCATTCTGTGAGTTTTTCAAAGCTAATTGTCTTCTCAATCTGAAAAGAGAGGCACAGAATAAATTGCCTGTAATGAGAATGCAACTTCTTTTCATTGCTCATTTTAATCAAGATTATTATTCAAAAAAAATCAGAAAGTTTCCCAAAGTACATCCTATCAACATCTCCCTATTTTACCATTTGTTTCTCTAGTATTTCCTCTGTCAATGCCCCTTTATTCAGTTCCACCCGACACATCCCCATCAGTACAAATAACTTCATGTCTCATACCAAACGGTATGGCAATTTCACTACATAGTGGATTGGCCAGCTGGTGAGAGATTGCAAAAAACATGCCATGGAAATTTATATACAGTGGATAGTACCAAAGAAACACAAACATTTCTGCATCTACTTCAATATTCTGAGAGCAGCTTATTTAAAATACTTGATGAGAATATTGTCAATAATATCATTAGGGATTATTGAACCTCATCATTTCTAGTAACACTTGCTGAAGAGTTTTTGTAAGAGGCCAGATGTAACTGCCTCTCAATGAAAAAAGTTGTCTATACATGCCTTTCTATAACATTACAGCAGCCCTAGACTCCTTTACCTTTCTTTTTTTAG